GACCAGCCTGAGCAAGAACAAGACCTCATCTCTACTAAAAATAGAAAAATACTACCTGGGCATTTGTGGCAGGCACCTGTAGTCCCAGCTACTTAGGAGGCCAAGACAAGAGAATCTCTTTAGTCCAAGAGTTTGAGGTTGCTGTAAACTGATAGTGCCACAGGATTCTACCCAGGGTGACAGAGTGAGATTCTGTCTCAAAAAAAAAAAAAAAATCATTTTGCCAAAAAGTATTCTGGTGATACTATTAATATATTAAAAAGAGATCATTTGCAATTTTTGTGATCATGTTTTCTTCATTTTTAAAGTGTTTGCTTTTGTAATCCTTACTTTTTGTTGCAGTTTTTTTTTTTTTTTTTGGTCGAGGCTGGGTTTGAATCCCCCACCTTCAGCATATGGGGTTGGCACCCTACTCCTTGAGCCATAGGCACCACCCCTGTAATCCTTAATTTTTATTGGAAGTGTATTAGTTTCACTAATTAAAAAAAGAATTCCAAACCCAGTTTTATAAAATACTCCCATAAAGACTAAGAAAATATAAAATGTGGGCTCAGTGCTTATAGCTCAAGCAGCTAGGGCGCCAGCCACATACAGTGGAGCTGGTGGGTTAGAATTCAGCCCAGGCCCACCAAACAACAATGACAACTACAATTAAAAAAAAAATAGCTGGACATTGTGGTGGGTGCCTGTAGTCCCAGCTACCCGGGAGGCTGAGATAAGAGAATCACTTAAGCCTAAGAGTTTGAAGTTGCTGTAAGCTGTAACATCACGGCACCCTACCCAGGGCAACATCTTGAGACTCTGTTTAAAAAAAAAAAAAAAAAAAGAAAAGAAAAAGAAAATATAAAATGTGTACTGGTATTATTTTATACCCCTACTGTAATTTCCTTTCCAGGCAGGAAGAAAGCAGCACATGGAAGGTTATATAGGCATGAAACAACACCATCTGAGGTATCTGAAGAGTCTGGTGCTGCTGGTGGTAGGCAGACTGTGAGAGATATTCTAGATAGGCGAGGGTGTTGCTTCATGGCCTGTTGCTTGTTCCTGACTATCACCATTTCAGTTCTTGGCTTTGACCTTGTCATTGGCACAGTCATCAATTTATAGCGACCTTGAGAAAAGTACTTATCCTTTCTGTGCTTCAGTTTCCTTATATATATAATTGAGAATAATACAGGTACCTATGTGATGGGATCTCTACGAGCTTTAAATGAATTGATACTTGTGAAGTACACAGAACAGTGCCTGGGCATGAAAAAAGATTTCTTCTCTTCTTTTCTATCTTTTGGCTTGCTATGAACTACCCACTCCATTGACCGTCTCTGTATTTAGTAACCAGTAATCTTCTATGAAGAGTTTTTTTTTTTTTCTCTTTCTTACAAGCAACAGTCTTTCCCAGTTCCATTTATGGTCCTTTTATTCCTGTGGGAATGTCCAACATGTCCAACTCCTTCAGGGAGTCAGAAGGGCTAATGTACTACAAGGAGTTGTGCATTTCTTTCTAGAAAATCAACTACGTCTAACAAAGGAAAAAGCATGTAAAGGCTGCAAATTCCTTGGTAAAATACTGTTTAGAAATCTTGTTTTCTTGATTTTAACCAATTATATTAAACAATAGAACCCCCCACACACACTTCTCCCTTTCAGTATCTTAAATGAATTTAAGAGCACCTTAGATGTTACCATTGGCTAGTAACTTCAGCCTTGAGGAAAGTAAGACAAAGATCTAAAACATCTGCCCATTTAGAATGGCTTTCTGGTCATGCTGGTACCGTTTTGTCTATAGATAATAGTATCTTCCTCTCCCAGAAAATCAGGGGCCTTGGACCATTCAAGTGATTGAAGAATTATTAAAGCAGAAGGCAGAAATGAGATAGTCCCTGGGCATTTCTTGGCCTCTCATTTCATAGGTGTAGTGGTCTGAATGAGTTTCCTAAAATTCATGCTGAAACATAGTCCCCAAACAGTGTTGACAGGTGGTGCTTTTGGTAAGGTGACCAGATTTTAACATTGGTAAAGCAGGACACCATTGGTGGGGGGGTGGCGAGGCCTGGGGGGCAGGGCCTGACAACAATGCAAACTTTGATAACCAGTTCTCAATAATCAGTTCTCAACAATTATTTGTTATTATTGAAGTTTAACATTATAAAATTAACAAAAATAACATAAAATGCATATCCTGGTGAAATAGCCATGTGGCAGCCAAAAACCGTATATTCCGTTCCTGTTCTACCGTGTTCCCTAGTTTTTTATGCATTCTTTCCAAAAATCAGAGCTTTTTAAAAACGCCACAGGATGCAGGACAAATTGTTAAAAATCAGGACGTCTGGTCGCCTTACTCTGGGGGGAGGGGCTACTTGTTTGTTCCAGACAGTTTGGCTCCTTCTGAGCTAATTGTCCTTGCCTAGAAGCAAGGGAGGGAGCCAGTCTCCTTCTGATACCTTGCCAAGGAGGGCAGTAGGGAGTTTACATTAGCCTTTTCATTTCCAAATGCAGTTACATTAACTTTTTCATTCCCAAATGGAGTTACATTAACCTTTTCAGCAGCCAGAAACCACATATTCCCTTCCCATTCTCCTGCTGTTCCCTAGCTTGTCATGCATTCTTTCCAAAAATCGGGACTTTTTAAAAACGCCACAGGATGCAGGACAAATTGTTAAAAATTGAGACTGTCCTGCCAAAAGCCGGACACCTGGTCACCTTAGCTTTTAGGGGTGTTCAGGTCACAAGGGCTCTGCCCTTGCAGATGGACATATGCCACCATACAAAGAGTGTGGGACAGGGTGTGCTCTCTGCTGCCCTCTGCGCCTGCCACGTGAGGATGCAGCAAGAGGGCTCACACAAGATGACAGTACCTTGACTGATTTGGGACTTCCCTAGGGTGACCAGATTTTAACATTGGTAACGCAGGACAACATGGCTGGGGGGTGGGGCGGGGGCGGGGCAGGGGACGGGGCAGGGCAGGGCCTGACAACAATGCAAATTTTGATAAGCAGTTCTTGATAATCACTTCTCAACAATTATTTGTTATTATTACAGTTAACATTATAAAATTAACAAAAATAATATAAAACTCATATTCTGGCTAAATAGCCACATGGCAGCCCCAAACTGTATTTTCCTGTCCTGTTCTCCTGCTTGTTCGCCCATTCTTTCCAAAAATCGGGACTTTTTAAAAAACGCCTCGGATCGCAGGACAAATTGTTCAAAAGTGGGACTGTCCTGCCAAAAGCGGGAGGGCTGGTCACCCTAGACTTCCCAGACTCAAGAAATGTGAGAAATAAATTGCAATTCTTTATAAATTACTCACCCAGTCTGTGGTAGTCTGTCATAGCAGCACAAATGAACTAAGATAGTTGGGAATGAAGGAATAATAAAATTACTGGGCCAATCTCTGTACAATTTCTGTACAGTCTCTTAGTGTTATAAAATTTCTTGCTTGCTTTGTGATATTAACAAAAAAAATTTTGGCGGAACAAGGGAGGAAATTCCAGTTTTGGCTGATCCTAAAGTGGTTCACTTTATGCTCCTTTTGATTCTTTTTTTTTTTTTTTTTTTGAGACAGGGTCTTACTCTGTTGACTGAGCTAAAGAACAGTGACATCATCATGGCTCACTGCAACCTCAAACTTCCTTGGGGGTGGGGAATTTGCCTCCTCAAGGCAACATGTGGCCCTCTGGACCCTCAAGGGTAGTCCCTTGACCAAATCCAAACTTCACAGAACAAAGCTCTTTGTTAGAAGGATTTGTTCTGCAAAAATTGAATTCAGCCAAAAGACCACACTCAAAGATCCAGAAGGCCACAGGTTTCTCACCCTTGCCTGAGTTGGGCCCACAGTTTATGCTACCACCTGGCTGATTTTTTATTTTTACTTTTTGTACAGATGGTGTCTTGCTATTGCCCAGGCTGGAGCTTTTGATTCTTTATTACCCTTCTGGTTAGAATAGTTTATTACTTGGTCTAAAATAGGCCCAGGATTGTGGGACTGTGGTAGTAAGGGAGCTGAGGAAAGATTTTTGGAAGGAAGTATAATCATTATTCTCTCTCCCTTTTTTTTTTTTTTTTTTGAGACAGAGTCTCACTCTGTTGCCCTCAATAGAGTGCTGTGGAGTCATAGCTCACAGAAACCCCAAACTCTTGGGCTCAAAGCAGTCCTCTTGTCTCAGCCTCCCAAGTAGTTGAGACTATAGGAGTCCTCCACAATGTTTTTAGAGATGGGGTCTTGCTCTTGTTCAGGCTGATCTCGAACTTCTGACCTCACCCTGGCCTCCCAGACTGCTAGGATTATAGGTGTGAACTGCTACACCTGGGGCCATTATTCTCATTTCTTTTTCCCCTTCTTTATCCAGAGGCAAACATGGGGGCTGTTTCCTGCTCCTTGTATATCTTCTGTCTGGCAACAGACCTGGGTTTGAATCTAGCTTTGCAATAAGCCAGTGTGGCACTGGGGAAGATATAGCTCCTCTGGCTCTCACTTTCCATTGTATACTTTAACGGGGATAATAAAATGTACCTCATAGGGTTATTGGAAGGACGAATGTACACGCATGAATATATATGTCTGCAACAGTTGAATCTGTATGAATTTGTTGACAATAATGCTGGAGTAATTCCTTAAAGTTATAGGTCCAGTTGTGTTCCAAGGTAAATGACTGCTAGGGAGACTGTATTGCCATTTTCCATAGAGGATGTGAAAGACCTCAGGCTTCAGACAGCCTGTGTTGGTGTCTTGCTTTCATCATTTGCTAGCTGTACCTTGGTCAAGTTTCTTAACTTCTCTGGACTTTGGTTTCCTTATCTGTAAAATGAGGATTATAATAGTTCTGACATCATAGTGGTCTTATCAAATTAAATGAGTTTACTATATATAAAGCACTTAGTATAGTGCCTGCCTCATAGTAATTGTTCAACACTTGATTACCATTATGATCCTCTCATGCATAAAATAGCCTAAAACAATACAACCTATTTGATCTGACCATCTTCATCCTGTTCATTAGGGTACACACTCTTACACTGCGCTGCAGCCTGGGGTCGTTTGGAAACTTTGAAAACTCTAGTGGAACTGGATGTCGATATAGAAGCTTTGAACTTCAGGGAAGAAAGAGCCCGAGATGTTGCTGCTCGGTATTCCCAGACTGAGTGTGTCGAATTTCTGGACTGGGCAAGTAAGTACACAGAGTATTCGCAGACTGACTGATGTGATGGATTTGTCTTCTGTGGGTTATATAGGCTACACTACAGATGTCACCTTCCATCAATTTATCTGTAGATATAACCATGGGTCACAGTTGGCAATAATATATGAAATCTACCTATTTTTTTCTATTTTGCTGTTGGCCTTAAACATTGTACTTAATAGGAACTGTAATATTGGAAGATTATTGATTTACAAACCACTAACAATTTCACCAACAATTTTCTATAAGATTATGTGTATAGTATATGTTCAAGGCCATTTTTTGAGAGACTTGCCAAGATTGTACATTATTTCCATTTTTCATTTTAGTGATTAGAGTAGGAGTCACTGGAGCGATTTAAGAGATTGAGGACTCCTTATGCCAATAGTCTCCTTCATACTAATGAAAATACAAAGACAAAGTGGACCATTCTTTTTTTTTTTTGATACGGCGCCTCAAGCTATCCCCCTGGGTAGAGTGCTCACAGCAACCTCCAACTCCTGGGCTCAAGCCAATCTCCTACCTCCACCTCCCAAGTAGCTGGAACTATAGGTGCCCGCTACAACACTTGGATATATTTTTTTTTATTGCAGCCATCATTGTTGTTTGGTGGGCCCCGGCTGGATTCAAACCTGCCGCCTTAGGTGTATGTGGCTGGCGCCTTAGCCACTTGAGCCACAGGCGCCAAGCCGACTATTCTTTAAATGTTTAAAAAATAGCACATTTCAGTAACATATTTGGTTCCTTAGATAGAAAAGATTGTAATGGTAATTGAAAAATGATTTATTTAGACAAAGTTCATCAATGGTTTTGGTAGTCAGAATAGTAGTTACCCCTATGGCATGGGAAGGCCTTCTGGGATGTACTGTTCTTTCTCTTGATTTGGTTGTCAATTACATGGCAATGTTCATTTGTGAAAATTCATTGAGCTGTATGTACAATTTTTGTGCTTATCTGTATGTATGTTATACTTCAATTCAAAATTCAAAAAACTATGCTATTTTGACTTTTGCTAATATTTTGCTTACATCATTCCCACAGCCCTGTAGAATATAGCTTAAATAGATTTCAAGAGTGTACCTGTGTTACTATGTTTGTGTACAAACATGGGTTAAAAAACTAGTACATTTGAAGGCCATAGCATTCCTTTTGCATGGTTGTCTGCATTCAAGATTTTGGCAAGCATTTATTGACTGCCCATATGAGCATGGCTATTGTTGTAGGTACAATTGGTATATCCTGTCCTCTGGACATCTGTTAAGTGGGTGATGATAAAGCATAGACACATTCAAGTGTTAAGGCTATGATTAAAGGCTAACATTGGCAGAACAGGCTACAGGATAGTCAGAGAACATGTTGAGCTCAACCTGGTCCTTGAATAATGGATGAAGTTTGGGTACACAATAGAAGGGGAATGGGTTTAAGCAAAATCTTAGAGCTAGGAATGAAAGTGGCATATTGTGGGCAGTGACAAGTTTGCCTTACTAAGCAGTAAGTCCTATTTTCCACGGGTAGGCTATAACATAGGTGGGACAATAAAAGGGTTAAATACATGGCCTCTTGGGACTGAATTTAAATACTAGTGTCTGCACTTGAAACCTATGTGACCTTGGCAAGGTACTCAAATTCTCTATATCTCAGTTTCCTTTCCTGAAAAAGGGGACCAGTAAAAATAGTTCCTACCTCTTGAGGGTTGTAACAATTAAATATGATGATGTAAAACACTTAATACCTGGAATGTGGTCATGTGGTCAGCATTTGAAAAATGCTTTTAGCATAGCCTGATTATACCCTTAAATGTCAGTCTAAGGTGTTTTCATTTTATTCTGGGAGCCACTGACACTTCTTATGTGAAAGAGGAAGAGGATGAAAGTGATTTTTAGGAAGATTCAGCTAGTAGCAAGAAGATGCTTGCTCCTTAGTAAAATGAGAAGGGGACTAGGAGAACTTATAGAAATTAGGAAATTAAAGGAAGGAGGTATATTTGGAAAAAAAAGATGAGTTATACTCTGCACATTATTTTTTATAAGTAATTGTCCACTTGTATTAAAAATGTTCTAGGAATAATCTTTCTCATGTCAATTATCTTTGATCTTATGATTAGATCTATAAGTAAAAAGAAGATAAAAATAGCCAAGAATTCAATTGCTCTCCCACAAATAGTAAGGGTGACATTCACATTCACATTCTATGATTTAAAATCTATTTTTGAAGACTGAATAAGCCATGATACTTAAAAATCATAATCCAGGGACAAATTTTGCCGAACTTTTCTTAAAAGAAATGGCTTGGGGCTTATGGGGATGAGGTTTCAATGGTTTCCTTCCCCATTATATCCATGTGTTTCACTTGGATCCTTAAATTCTCAGAGAGATTATACCCAACATATCTCAGTGATATAAAAAAGAAGACTGTAGGAAGTAAACTACTAGTAATTGTGTTTCTAGATGTTATTAGGATTGGTACTTCATGGTAATGTAGCTGTGGAATATTAGAAACAAATTACAACATAAAATTTAACTTCAGCATTTGTTTAATTCAGACTCACCAAGATTGGACATGAATTCCATTTCTCATTTCAGTGAATAGAGTAGGAGTCACCTGGAGAGATTTAAAAGCTTGAGGACTCCTTACTCCAATCCTTCACACTCTTGAAAATTCCATTACTAGAGATGGATTTCTTTAGGTTTTAGAGGTTTGGGAATTTAAATCTTCCCTTATTAAAATAATATATATCAGTGTTCTCTTAGAGAGGATTAGTTGAGCGTTCAGAACCCTGAAGGTGTGGAACATCATATTTAAGGTAATGTGGGGCGGGGTTGTGCTTAGGAGGAGTGGATGTAAGAAGGAGAGTCTGTAAAGAGGAACCAGAAATAACCGTCTAATAATCTATTATGGTCCAAGGCAGGCACTATTCTCTTCTATTACTTTTAAACTCTGCCGTTATTTATTACTGTTCCAAAGATTATTTTGTAAGAATAGCATGTTTTTCTGGGATTTTTCAAGATGTTTTTAATCAAACCTTCTGGCCTACTCTCAGGCCTGTCTCCTAGTCTTTCTTCGGAAAATCTGGTAACCATACTTTAAAAAATTAAAGAGTCTGATCATCAACAAAAGTCTGAAATTTAAAAACATATTGGTACGTAATTTATCATTTATTACACTGACAATGGAAAAATTTAGACTTAAAAAAATTAATATATTCTTTACTACACTTCCATGCTGTTCTAGCAATCTGAGAGGAGAAATCAAAAGTCTTCCTGTGGTTATAAAATTTGCTCAGGAAAATAAAAATCACAGATACTATTTAAATCAGATATTTATTGAAACACTAAACTAACCTTCTATTCTACAGATTGGTTAATGATTAGCTGTTTAGCACATTGAAAAGAACAAAATACTTGAACATGTAGCAGTGATAGAACCTTTCCCCCAGTACTGTAGTAAGTATAGATTCTTTTTTAGCTGAATGGAAATAACACTTCAACCTAGACTTCTTTGGAAAATTTCAGTAAAGATAGTGGCCAAAAAGAAAAAATTACAAAGTCTTCTGATGAACCATTATTATCCTTAGATGAGTCTTCTTAATAGATTTCCTTTGTAATCTATATTTGACTGAGCCACATTTGCATATACGTATGTTTAATGTCCTCTCGCTCCATCACCTTCACTCTTCTTCCTCTTTAATTTGCGGTGCTTAATTTTCTTAGAAGGATGGTGGGACACCTGTTTCAAGTACTTGGTCATCATTGATGTTGTAGCCACCAGTCTGCAGAGTATTTGGTCAATGTCATAGATGGATGGGCTTTCTAGATCATTAGTAAATTTATCTAAGGAGGCTTGTTTTTTCAGCTAAAAAGAGAAAAAACAAATGATATAGATTTTATCTTATTACAGGTCAAATTTGTATTCCAAATATATAAGCTTAAATTCTATTGAAACAGCATGTATCAGTTATTTATACAAAAGAAAGATTACTATAGAAGAGAGTGATAAGTATAGAAGAAATGATCTTCTATACATGTCCCATATAAGATTAGAATGATCATTATCACCATTGGCAAACAATTAGTGCGTTCTATGGTTAAATATGAATATTAGCAAAAGGTTTTACTTTACTAAACAGCCTCAAGGTATAATACCATAAAATCACATCATTTAAGAAACAAAATATTTATAAATATCTAGTTGTTCTGAAGGTCATTGAAGTTTTTTTGTTTATTTGTTTGATCATTGAGCTTTTAGGACTACCTCAAACAATGGTGTCACTTTTTTGGCAAAGTGGAAAATTAGTTTAGAAGTTCTATTTCCTAGAAAAGTTATCCTAGCATTAGAAATTAGTTTACGTAAAAAATACATGCCAACTCTCGTACTTAGCTTTCTTAGATAACTCTGGAAGGGTTCTAAGAGATCTCTTGTTCCAGATCCTTCATTTTATGGATAAGGCAGCTGAGAAAGATCAAATGACTTAACTAAGGGCGCAGACAGATAACTTCATTTCCTGTATATTTTAGTCATGGTAGCACACTGCTTTTAAAATGTGTTTTGTAACCCGAAGTAGAGGCGATTGGACTAGATGAGTTTTTTAATACCACAGGGTCTGACAGGTTGGACCAGATAATTATAAAGACCTTCTAATTCAACATAGCTATGTGCAAGATGCTGCGCTAGATGCCGGGGGAGTCAGGGCAGTGGGGGACAGTCACAAAGGTGAATAACAGGTCACCCCACCCCACCCCCTTAGAAACTGGTTATCTTACGTTCTAAACTCTTCTAGATTTTGTAACTGTTACTATTTGCATCACTAATTCACCTTTTTTTGGTGTTTCTTCCATTTCATCCACAGGTAATGCACAGATAAAACAAATAGGATTAAAACAAGAGCTTGCACTAAAATATAAGTGAGATGTAAGCAACCCTGAAGTATATCCATGTTTGCAAAGTTGCAGCACAGTTTTTCCAGAGGGTAAGGCAGACAGTGAGATGGAGAAGGCTTAACTTTCAGATAGTGTACTTCTTCTGGAAAAATCTCCCATCCAACCTTTGTCCAGGTAGTTCCATCACAAATGCAGCAGCTCTCCCTGAAGAAGCAGATGAACAACAGAGAAAAAATCAGGAATAGTCGTTGATTAGACATCTTTCTCAATTGGAAAAAAATATCTCTAGCTAAAAAATTGGTCAGAGACAGAGAAGAAAGTGCCTTGAGTTGTTAATATTGTGCTTCAGTCAAAGCATCTCAGGTTATCTTGCCAGTTAGCAAAATATACCCAGCAAAATATACACTAATGACTATTATAACATCATCAGTCATAGTGATTCAGAGATAAGTTCAGTGACATCATAATGAACCACATTGGAACTAAAAGATGTCACCCAGCCAATCACCTTGGTTTTTTTTTTTTTTTTTTCCCATTATCTTGGAGATTCCTTTTAGGT